TGTCTCTTCTCCCTCCTGTCTCTCTCTCTCTCTGTGGGTGGTTGGTGGCTGTCTCTTCTCCCTCCTGTTTCTCTCTCTCTCTCTGTGGGTGGTTGGTGGCTGTCTCTTCTCCCTCCTGTTTCTCTCTCTCTCTCTCTCTCTCTGTGGGTGGTTGGTGGCTGTATCTCTCTCTGTGTGTGAGTGGTTGGTGGCTGTCTCTTCTCCCTCCTGTCTCTCTCTCTCTCTCTCTCTCTCTCTCTCTCTCTGTGGGTGGTAGGCGGGTGTCTCTTCTCCCTCATGTCTCTCTCTCTGTGGGTGGTTGGTGGGTGTCTCTTCTCCCTCATATCTCTCTCTCTCTGTGGGTGGTTGGCGGGTGTCTCTTCTCCCTCATGTCTCTCTCTCTCTGTGGGTGGTTGGTGGCTGTCTCTGCTCCCTCCTGTCTCTCTCTGTGGGTGGTTGGTGGCTGTCTCTCTCTCTCTCTCTCTGGGTGATTGGTGGGTGTCTTTTCTCTGTGATGTCTCTCTCTCTCTCTCTCTGTCTGTTGCTTCCTGTCTTGTGTGGGTGGTTGGCGGCTGTCTCTTCTCCCTCTTGTTTCTCTCTCTGTTGGGTAATTGGCGGGTGCTCTGGTGTGGTTTGCTCCTTCTTTCCTATCAAACATCTATCGTCCTGATCTCCCCTCCTTTTTTGCGTTTGTTACTCTCTTGTAACACCTCTAATCTTCGGCACTTATATGACCCTATTGTGTTGCAAGTGCCGTAAAACTCTTACTAAAAATTAAAACCAGTGTTGTAGGAAAGCAAACTTTGTCAAGAGTTGATGGTAGAGCTGTCTGTCAGTTATCTGATGACAAATCCACAGATGAGAACGCCGAGATTTGCCAGGAGTTCAGCCGGGTGGTCTCGGAGATCCAAACTGCCATGGCGGCCAAACCTCTGGAGACGCCGCCCAGTGGAGGTCGGGAGGAGGATGAGGAGGAGAGGAGGAGGAAGGCATCACAGGATGTGCCGAGAGAGGAGGGGGAGGAGGGGGATCAGGTGAGGGGGACTTCCCAGAAATTTGTTTTGTTTTTTGTGTTTGTTACTCTCTTGTAACACGTAATCTATTCTTGGGCACTTACATGACCTAATTGTGTTGCAAGTGCCGTAAAACTCGTACTGAAACTAAACATTTTCGTCATACTCGCTCACAGTCCGGCCCAGCAAATCAGTTTATTAATAATTTTATCAAAATCATTATTATTATTATTATCATCATCATTTATTTTTATCTTTTTAGCTCTCATTATCTTCATTATTGTTATTATTATTATTATTATTATTATTATCATCATCATTTATTATTTTTTTTTTAGCTATTATTATTATCTTCATTATTGATATTATTATTATTGTTTTTATTATAATTATCATCAACGCTATTATATTTATATATAAATATTTTTTTTTTTTATTATCATAAATTCATATTATTTCTATTATTAGTATTTTAATTTTTATTATTTTCGCCCCTCTTGCTCCCAGTCCGACCCGGCCAAACCCTCGCTGTCGGAAACCCCCGGCTCAGAACCACCCCCCGAACTCCCCCCGCGGGCCGCTCGACCTTGCACCCTGCCCCACGGCAACTCCAGCGCAACCTTCACCCTCGATCCCCAGGCCAGGTCGGAGGTGGGCGTGCTGCAGGCGGACAACGAGGAGCTGCGACGACAGACGAGTCAGCTGGAGGTGGAACTGGGTCACATGGCCGGCAAGATGGCCGCCGTGGTGCGGGAGAAAGAGGCTCTCATCGGCAAGGTGGGTTTTGTAGTGGGTTTTGTGACAAGGTTGGTTTTGTAGTGGGTTTTGTGACAAGGTGGGTTTTGTGACAAGGTGGGTTTTTTGACTAGGTGGGTTTTTTGACGTGGTGGGTTTTGTAACAAGGTGGGTTTTGTAGTGGGTTTTGTGACAAGGTGGGTTTTGTGACAAGGTGGGTTTTGTGGTGGGTTTTGTGACAAGGTGGGTTTTATGACAAGGTGGGTTTTGTGGTGGGTTTTGTGACAAGGTGGGTTTTGTGGTGCTAAAACTACCCCATCTGTCTGTGTGATGACCTCCCTGCACTAAAGAACTATTGATGAGACATCAGTAAGTACATAAACAGATGGATGGAACTTTCAGACAAGATGTCCACAATGTCTCCTCTAACTTTATCGTTATCCCCCGGGGGGCAGTGCTACTCACTGAAGTGTCTTTAGGTCATTCCCAAAGGGGGGATATTACCATGTTCTTATACACAGTAGAATTGTAAATGGGCTGATTCATCAATGTCATGCTCATACTGTGCCGGAACAACATAGGGGGAACTGCTGCTTTTTCTTTCCTAATCCTTACTATCGTCATTTTTCCTCTACTTCTTTTGTATGTTTGTCACTCTCTTGTGACCTGCTATTTCCGGGGAGCCTTGATAGTCGAAGTAGACTTTGTGCTGTTGAGGCTAGAGAGGTGAGCAGAGTAAGTCTGATTCCCCGTTTGAACTTCTCTGTTGACATTCACCCCTTGGCGCTCATATGACCTTATGCTGTTGAAAGCGCCGTAAAACCTCTACTAATACGAAAGGGTGGGGGAGGGGGAGGTAAAGCCTCTACTAAAACTTAACTAACTAACTTAGTCGTGTGGTTTTTCCGTTTGTTTTTTCCGCAGGTGTATGACCTTCAACAACACCTGCAGACTGTCACTTCGGCCACGAGCCCCTCCCACAGTCGCGTGGCCACGCCCACCAAACAGACAGTGACCCCTCCCCCTCCGGCAGACAGGTCAGCAGGGATATTTTTAGAACGGTGGAGGGAGGAAATGTAATGTGGCGTAAATCTTCAGAGAAAAGTTGATCAGTGTCATTCCACAGTGCCAGAAATCATTTTTTGAAGTCTCCTCCTTCTGTCTATCCACCTGATGTCTCCTCCTTCCCTCTCTCCACCTGATGTCTCCTCCTTCTGTCTATCCACCTGATGTCTCCTCCTTCTCTCTCTCCACCTGATGTCTCCTCCCTCTCTCTATCCACCTGATGTCTCCTCTTTCTCTCTCTCCACCTGATGTTTCCTCCTTCTCTCTATCCACCTGATGTCTCCTCCTCTCTATCCACCTGATGACTCCTCCTTCTCTCTCTCCACCTGATGTCTCCTCCTTCTCTCTCTCCCCCAGGAGGGGATCAGAGCAGGACAACTTCCCCGTGGCAAAGATAGCCGAGCTGAAGAAACTGAGGACCTGCGTGGGTGATATGCAGGGAATTCTGGGCTCAGAGGTGGCCATGATGGGGGTGAGTGTGTGTGTGTGTGTGTGTGGATGGGTGTGTGTGGATGGGTGTGGGTGTGTGTGTG